AAAAAAAAAAAAAAAAAAAAAACGGTAATGAGACAGGGTCTCACTATTTTGCCCAGGCTCATCTCAAACTGTTGGGTTCAAGCAGTCCTCCCAGCCTGTAGCTGGAATTACACATGTGCAATGTGACTTTTTCACTTACTTTTGAATGCAAATTTCTATAAAGCTAGAATTAACTGGATAAAAGGGCCCTAGGGCTTGCTGTTTAATAAGCAGCTTAGTTTTTCATCTTCTCCAAAAAGACTATATGCTCTTATCTTTGCAGGGCACAGTGGCTCATGCCTGTAATCCCAGGACTTTGGGAGGCTGAGGCAGGCGGATTGCTTGAGCTCAGGAGTTTGAGACCATCCTGAACAACATGGTAAAACCCATCTCTACCAAAAATACAAAAAATTAGCTAGGCATGGTGATATATGCCTGGTCACAGTTACGTGGGAGGCTGAGGTGAGAGGATCATCTGAACCCAGGAGGTAGAGGTTGCAGTGAGCAGAGATGTGCCTCTGCACTCCAGCCTGGGCAACACAGTGAGACTCCATCTCCAAAAAAAAAAAAAAAAAAAAAAAAAAAACTATGCTGTCAACTAGAACGTACCAAGACTCAGGTGCTCCGGAAATATCTGTTGAATTACAAGGCAAACCACCTTCATGACCTCAGCTTTACGTGAGCCTTCCCTGACTTACTTCTACTTTATAATTGAGGTGAATTACCTTACCAGGCAACTGATAGGCCAAAATTGCAGCCAAGAATAACATCTAACAGGTCGAAGAGCCAGTGGTAAAACCTATATAATTAGCTTAACTGAGAGGCTCTCAGAACCCACCCCAATAGCCGGTTTTTTTTTTTTGAGACAGAGTTTTGCTCTTGTTGCCCAGGCTGGAATGCAGTGGTGCAATCTCAGGTCACTGCAACCTCCACCTCCCAGGTTCAAGCGATTCTTCTGCTTCAGCTTCCTGAATAGCTGGGATTACAGGCACACACCACTATGCCCAGTATTTTTAGTAAAGATGGGGTTTCACCATGTTGGCCAGGCTTGGTTTCAAACTCCTGACCTCGGGTGATCTACCTGCTTCAGCCTCCCAATGTGCTGGGACTACAGGCGTGAGCCACCACACCTGGCCTCAGACCCCTTTCTTACCCATTAACTCACTGTAAATTTCATTTCCTGCACATTCTCCAGGGAAGATTGGAAAAACTGCATCAGACATTTCCCATTGACTTCAGTGAGCAGATTGTGCCACTGCACTCCAGCCTGGACACTCACTGAACCTGTTCACAGGTGGGCCCTGACAAAGTAATTGACCCTTGAAGCTCTGGTAGTCTTGCCAGGACTCCTCAGGCAGCTCAAGTGTTGTCCTACCAGCCTGTAGGAGTGCCACTTCCTCTTTCCTCACCCCCACTACTTCACCACCCTGCCTGAGTGCAAAAAAAAAAAAAAAAAAAAAAAAAAGTGCGGGCAGCATCCTGTGCCTACTTCTCTTACCCACATCAACTGCTGAGCCAACTTGCCCCCACAGCCTGCTTGCCTGGCTTCCCACCCGGCCTGCTGTTGTTCCTCACATCACAAGGCTGAAGTCTGGGGAGTGGGTGGTCTCTCAGTTGCAAGCAGGCCAGAGACAGAAGTGACTGCTGCAAGGGTGGCCATGCTCACCTAACTTGTTCATGTCTCCCAGCAGAGCTGAACATGGCAGCAGTCCTCCCACCAGGCCAGGAGGGGTCTCTTCCCACTTACGCAGTCTGTGTCAGAAGAGCCTATGCATGGCCTATCACACACAAGCTAGGATGTTCCCTCTGCCACTGTTGCAGAGTCCCATGAGCAATGTGACAATGTGGCAAGCCCGAGGTTTTCTTGTCTGGTTCAGAGAGGGCAAGGCAAGAGCAGGAAGCAGGTCCTACAGCTCTGAGGATGCTGAACTAGAGCAGGAGCCTCCGGGCAATGGGTTACTGAAACAATTGCCTTCTGTCAGACTGGGTGCTGGGGCCTCAGAGAGACTCCAGTATCCCTGCCCTCCAGAAGCCAGGGCCTAGCAGGACAAAACTTATTCCAATTAGAGTTTGTCAATCTGGTCAAGGGTTTAGGTAACAGTGGGGAAAGCAAGGCAGCCTGAGGTATGTGCCACATAGTCTCTGAAGAGCCAGGCTGGCTCAGGCTTGCCTTTCCCAGTCACTCATTTCTGGCCCTATGGCTGTGCACTACAGCCTGGGGTTGAGGTTGGTTCTAGGGGTTCCTCCCACCAGCCCACAAGTCTTAGTTACCAAGGAGCAGTTAGAGGCAGTCCCAGGGAGCCCAGCAATCACTTCACACAGCTTTACAGCAAGTGTGAGCCAGGAGAATTAACAGGAGACAACCCAAGCCTCCCTCGAGCTCTGGGAACCAGGCAAACAATGCTACCGAAACTCAATGGAAGAGGCTGCAACCATAAAATTCTGTTTTAAGACTGTAACATGGAAAAAATGTTTATATGTTAAGTACAAAAGGGACATAAAATTGTATATACAGTAGAAGGACGGCTATGTAAACACACCAAAAATCTATGCACAGATATGTCTAGGGGAACATTTAACACCAAAAGATTTAACAGTGGTAGCATTTGGGTGGCAAACTGATTCTTTGTAAAATTCCTCAATTTTCCTTAATAAGCAGTAATTACAATTGCAACGGGAAATAATTTTTTTTAAAAAGTACCCTTCTGGTTGAGCAGGGCAGTGTCACTGTCAAATAAACACCAGTGGCTTTGGCCCTGACTCCTAAAAAGGTGGCAAACACTGCTGCCCCACTCCTCACCCACCCCCAAGAGAGCCTGAGCACCTGACTGCCGAGCATCTGTGCAGCCCCAGCCCCCGGCACCTCCTCTTACCCCGCCTCATCCCCCACCACACCATCTCCACTCACTTCTAGTTCTATCTTTCCCTTTCCTTCTTAACTCAGGAACTTTGCAATCACAGCGCCCAAAGATAGAGGCCATGAGATGGCATGTTTTCAAAGAATATGGTGCTTCCGTTTTAGACATGCAGGAACTCAAATACAATCATTTTCCTGCTGCTGGGTAAGTCATGCTTGGTGGCTGCTCTGGTTGCAGATATGTGAAGTTATGTAGCCTTTCCTGTTAACCCATGGTTCCAAGCACTCTCTCTTAACAATTATTCCTATCATGAATTTTCTACCCTGAAAAGCTAGAGGTGGGCAATCACAATTAAGATCATTTGGTTTCTAAAAGTCCTTCCTCTCTGGGAAAGCAGAGCTATACACAGTGGGTGGCATCCTGCAGATTCTAGTCTACATTTGGGAAAGGTGTACGACTCTGCAATTCACAGCCTATTCCTGCCACTGAACAGAAACTGTGATGCCTTATTTACTCCCTAACAGCTATGTAATTCTTGAGCAAGTCATAACCCCATTGTGCCTCAGCTTCTGGATCTGCAAGGAGTGTTGCCTGCACAACTGTTTAGGAACTTAGTAAAATGACTTACCACTTTCTCTGCT